TATATATATAAACCTACAATGTTATAAATTTGTATAGAACGGCTATAATAATGTGCATCAGTGCGCAATATAAGAACTGAGATATTCAACCAGCAATCGGTCAAATAATTGGCCGCAAAGATGATAAAAAGTTTAGACGTAGTATTATCTAAAGAAGGAAGGCGCCTATTTTTCAACACTTCCCCGTCGTATTTAATTCGCGCTACATATCTTCACATATTGCTAAGTTTCACTTCTTTTTTCTTTCTTTCTTTCTCTCTCTCTCTCTCTTTCTCTTATAATATAATATACCTACTATTACTATCATATATGTAACTTATAATGTCTATGACGTGAATCAGAGCTTATTATGTATATTAGTAGGAACGTAATTAATAGGAAAGATTTTGCAAATAATTACCGCGTTGCATATGCGCGTTCGTAGGCAAGTTTTCCGATCGTTAACTTTTTCCTACGTCTCGAGAAAATAAAAGTTTTTGCCGTATTAGAAAAAACATTGTACACGCGCGCAAACAATGACAAATCAAATACGTTTCCCTAATTCTTCTTTTTTTTCTAAAGGTAATTAATATATGCACTATCAACCGTATTTGGCTCTATTCATCGTTTCTTTTTTTAATATTACCTTTACTGTTATTATTATTATTATTATTATTAATAACATTTGTAGCAATATTTTTGTAACATTTTTTTCCACTTGCAGAAAGCATCTAAAGACGTTAAAAATTCAAGATGCTTAAATGTGGTGTCCTCTCGTCGCGAGACCGCGGAATAAATTTAATCGCTTCTCATCACACATGATTTGCCACCGATACTAGTCTACTCCGTCTTTCGTACAACTGTGGTTTCAAAGATCGCGCAAAGGCTACGTTATTTCTAATATTGACGTACGTTAACCGTTGTAATTGTTCCTGGTGTTAACAGGAGCAGTCAATATTTTGAACTTAAGTACTATGTCATGGCAAGCCCTAAAATACCTTTCCCAAACAGCGTATTGAATACAGTAGATGATAGAGCGAAAAAGGGACAATCCACAGAAAACTTAAAATGGGAATTAATTAAATACAGATTAATTCCGTATTTTCCTAATTTTCTTTTTCTTCTCCAAAGATAATTAATTAATATATGCATTATCAACCGCATCTGGCTCTGTTAATCTTCTCTTTCTTATTTTTACGGCTACTGCTGTTATTATTATTATCGTTTCCATTTTTTTTTTAAATCATTATAAAACGGAAAATAAGTTTGGAATATTGCCGATCGCAATTAATCGAATTTAATTGTTATCTTAAACGCGTTATATTAAGCAACTTGACCTATAGTCTATATGATAAAGCGATAAAGTTAGAACACGTTTTTTCTTCAATAATTCTCTGCATGTATCTGATATTCAACCGAGTATATTAATGATGTTTAGTGCGTCTGCATTTATAAGGATATTTCATGTCACACGATTTACTAATTTCTTTTTACTTTTTCAAGCATAAGGAAATTAAACCATACAATTAATTATATATTATTTAAATAAACAGGTACTAGAAAATGAAGAGATATACTTTTTGAAATTATAGAAAAAGAAATTTGTAAGTTTTTAATTTGTAAAATTTATAAATTTATTTCTTTGAATGTAAACGCATCAGAAATCAGTAATATATCTGATTGTATATTTAATGTAAGAATTGTCATTGAAAAAGCACCAATCTAATACTTTTTCACTTATTAGGCATACACAACAATGTTCTAACAAAATCGCTCTGAGTTAAGGGAAATATAAAAAAATTTAGAAATGTCTGCGAATTCGCAGGAAGTTGCGCAGTTTGTATGCATGCCGCGTATATATTCGCGTTTATATGTATACTACATTGTATCACTCAATTGTACATACCTCTGTCTGTACATATTTAATGTCTTCCGATATTACTTCTCGTGATCTTTTTTGAAGAACACAACGCGACGACACAAGAAGCAGTTCGTGTCTGCCTGCCCGCTCGAACTTCGCCGTGCGAATGACAAGGCGCTGCGCGAATGACACAAGACGACTGCGTGTAAACAATAGTACGCTACATGCCGCGAAAACAACTTCCATACAACAGTTAATTTTTTATCATTACAAAATATTAAACACGCTACAGAAGAAATTAAAGAAATTTGCTTATAATATTCTATATTTCTTGAATTTCAAAGTGATTATTAATAAAGAGATTGCATTGAAATTATATTTTTTACTTTTAATATGTACAACTAGACACTATCTACGCGTATTTACTATGTCAAACATTTGTAAAAAAAATGTCATAAATGATTTTTAGAAAATAATTTTAAATAATAAAATTGATATAACTCGTTAATGGTTGGTTTTAGGACCTATGTTTATTTAATTTCTTTTCTTTGTTTTTATCTATGTGTAGAATATAGTGTTAACGTTTGGCCGAATGTGTTTGGGATACTCTGTATATGGGATATACTACATATCAAGATAATTTAGAAATTATAAATCAATAATCGAGAATAAAATAAAAAAATTTCTGAGCATGTTTACTATTATGTAATGTATCGTATTAAATGCACAAATTTGAAAAAAATCTGATTGATTAGCATATTATTTTTTAATTATAAATTATTATAGCCTTGATATATTTTGATATTTAAATTTCTGTCGTTGAATAAACTCAAAAATCTGCCATCAACTGATGTCACATGAGGTTTGAACTATTATATGTAGTAAACTTATTAATAATAATATTATATTTAATATTGTATTATTCAGTTTTATCCGGCAACGTGTTTGTCGTGGATTTATATAGATTTTTTCCAATTTGCAAAATGACCTTCTAATTATTATAATTTCTTATTCTAAATCTCTTATAAATTCCAAGGGTTTATCCATATATGTTAAAACTGTTTATAACCTGATTTTTAAACCGCACTTTCTTTGTCGCATTTTTTAAGATGAATTGAAATCGCAATCTGCGCTAAATATTAATATTAATAATCATATTTTGTTCCTAATAATATTACGGGCCATATGAGTTGAACTTTGTAAAAGACCAGTGGTTTTTTCAGAACATATTAAATCGTGCACGCATTAATTAAAAAAATTGCATATTTGTTCAATAATAATTCCGCATAAGAACGAAGACAACATTTAACGCTTCTGGTTCTTAACGCTTCAGAAACCAAAGACTTTAAACCAGTTGAACATTCTGAAAATCAGCATAATTCAGCATTAATAGCAAATCAGTTGCTTCGTCGTCAATTTCGATATTTAAATTGTAAGCATGGCATCAAAGCTTGCCTCCAATTGTCGTTTAGCATGGATCCTACTTCATATCCTTTCTTTCTACTGAGATTCATCTTTGCCTGCTCTATCATCTATCGTCCTATCATATGCGTTGAGGTAGATGGTTGGAATATTTGTGGGATATATATGTATGTGTATGTATGTATGTTTGCACATAAACGGCGTGCATATGTATACATGTACATATGCGTGTATTTGCCTTTATGATTCTAATCGGATACGATTAGCAACCTCGTTCACGCGTCGTCTATAAAATCGACGTCAAAATGACCGAGATGCTTCCTTTTTCAGTTATTCTGCAAAAGCATCCGATATAAGCAAACACTTTTGCGATTCTCTCCACGCGATAATAACAAACAGAAACAAAACATCGATCGAATTCGATGAATGATCTTTTATCGCGCGTTTCTACTTCCCTTCTTCTCAGCAACGAGATCGCGTTCAGGCAGTTCACGCTGCCGTGGCTGAACAGTCATCTCGAACGACTTGTAATATCCCCGATATTGCCCTGAGTTATACCATGGTTATAACGGATAACGAGAAACTATTCAGATTTGATTACTTCCGGTTCCTCGTTCTCGCTGTACTCCTCGTCTTCCTCCTCGTCCTCTCCTCCCGACATCACTCCCTCGTCCGCGAGCCCGGCATGTCTATCATGCATCGTCTCGTCTCTATCCTCGTGAATAATTCCAGATCCTCGTTCCTCTCTACCAATTGTAGGATAGGGATCTTCTAGGCTGCGACCGCCGTGCTCCTCTATGACGCTCATCTGCGCCTTGGCGGAGCCGAGCTCTTTTGCCATGCGACTCATACGGATCGCATGCTCTGTAGGAATCAATCCTATTGACGATAGATCCGAGCTTTCCGCGATAAGCTGTAAATAAGTATTTAAAAGCGCCGAGCCAGCAATCGCGCTAGTATTATGGCCCGTATGTTGACTGGACGAATGCAATGGCGCCATGTTGGGCTCGCGACTATCGTGCATCGTATCGAGAGATTTGGCGGCGATCGCCGCCGTCGTTGTTGAATTCTTCCCGTTGCTGTTACTGTTACTGCCACCGCTTACCCTGGTAATCACACTGGCAATAGAGTTGGGTTTTATTGGCGGACTGTTGAGCTTGAAGGCGAGAGGTAAAGTGAGATCTTCGGGGTCATCGCCGCCGCAGATGCTGCTGCCAGCCTCGGATGGAGCGCCTCCGCGAGGTAGTTCCAGTCTCATGTCACTTCTTCTCGGCGCCGTAGGACTGGCCCGGGCACGGAGCTCAGCCGGACTCACCTTGACCCCAGCCTTCGCCAGCAGCCGGGACGCCAATTCGGGATCGAACTGACTAGGCATCTGCAAGACTGGAAGATCCTTCGTGCTGATGCCACGATGTTGCCTCGACATGTGTGAGTGCAGGGAATTCCGAGATTTTGCTACTGTACCGCATAGGACGCACCGATAACCCGGACAGACCGTGTGCTTGTCTTCCAAATGAGTCCGCAACGTGTGTGCCGAGCGATACATCTTTCCGCATTTCGGACAAGGTCTAGGATCCGTGGCACGTACTCGTATCAGGTCCACACCACCTCGTCGACTGACTGAAAATAAATGATAAATAAATATGTGAAAGAAATGTGTTTAATTTAAGTATTAGCACGGAGATCCGACGTATGGCTCTTTAGTCTATCTTACTTATTTTACTATTTTATATTATTTTCTTTTTTAATTATCTAGAAAAAAATTTTATTTGAGTTTTTATTATATATATAATAT